CTCTTCCAGTTTTGGAGATGTAAGGGACTAAATGTTATAATTTTGGAGTTACAATAATGTGCCATAAATTTCGTACAGAAAAAATTAATTAAAATAAAGAAAAGGTCATTTTGGTCAAAATTCTTGAAATGGGAGGTGCTCTGAAGTTCCAGATGTTCAAATTTGATGAAAAAATGTCATTTTTGACCACAGGTTGTCTGCCTCGCCAAGCCTTATGTTTTATTTTTCGGGAGTTCAAAATTTATTATCCATTACCGTACTGCACATTTTGCTTTCACCACCAATATGTACTTTTTGATACAGCGTAACTTGAAAACCGTAGGGAATACAAAAAAACGGAGACCACTCTCAGTGTTGGGCTTTACATGCTCTACAAAATGCAAAAAAGAATGGGTCTCCAGCACTAACGGTTCCCGAATTAGAGACAGTTTTCAGTTTCGGTATCTTATGGCCGCTACTCCCGTGAAAATGCACCGATTGACCCCAAATTCATAGAGATGAAAGATTACCCAAAGGGTAACACTTTCCAATAATATTATTGGTTAAGTCTGTGTAGTGTCTGAATAACAGCGCAAAAAAATTTTTAGGTGACCTAAATCCAAGAGATGGGTACGCAGGCCCTAGTAGTCTAGGAGGAGAAGCGGTAACGGTGACTTGGTGGTGGAGCCGCAGGAGCTGGCGGAACATACGGGTCGGGACTAAAACCATGTGTACCGCCAGTGCCTACGCTGGTGGTACAATAACAGGATATAATACTTTTTACATGCAACTTAAATTTTTATAATCTTCCAAATTTTTTAGCGTGAAAGTGCTTCTTGGGTTATGGAGAATTGCCTAGTATATTGCATGCAGCATTTCTGAATAAGTGTCACTTTTTATAATAATATAATCCACGAATATCCTATTAATTCTGGCTGGAAAAATAGAATGTCACATTTTTACTTCTGTGCAAGATCTAATGATACTACATTTACATGTCAATTAAGTAATGAGCATGATAATTAAGTAACTAACTGACTTAATCATTTAATCATTACGGAGTATGAGATGTTCCCATAAAATGTATGGGCTTATCTAATTGCTTCATTTAAATGGAATTGTCATAACAATGTTTTTTTAAAGTAGATGCTGCAGCATAATGATACTGAAGAAAGGGGGAAAAAAAATCCGAGATTCATGCATGGACAACAAAATAGGTGATTATAGCGTCTCTGATCCAAGATGTAGGTACCATTAACATTCATGAAATTTTCATGGCATATCAGCTCAAGTTTCCACTAATTTGTGAGTCATTTTTTAAATCAAGTTAATTTAAATTCAAGCTCATGACCCCTGAATACCCTTCCATTTGTCAAAATGCAACTTCTAAAACAAAGACAAAACTTCGTTTATATGGCATTTTGGGGAATGCTCAAGGGTACAGTAATTAACACAAAATTAAATTACATGGTTCTGGTGGGAACATTTTCCCACAGTATGGTTTTCTAAAACATATATACTTTACATATGCCTACAGGATTGACTGTTCTCATACAGTAGATGTATGTCAGCAATCAATTTTGTTTGCATACTCAGGAGGTCAAATAGTCTGTAGCACCACAAGAATAGTGCCAAAAGAATGTCTGTTCACATCTCCCCATAATCTAACACAAGATGTATTTCAAGAAGGGGTCAGATACGTTACTGCTGTGTTATCATATTTGGGTTTCCAGTACAATGGGATCAGAGAAGAAATGTAGTACATATATCTGGGTGAATACTAATATATATGCTCTTAAGCACACATATAAAACTCACCTTAAATAGATCAAAGTAAGAACATTTTCAATTTTCTCAAAACAGCAGTTAAGCTGTCATTACTGCCATGTACATGCAAGTCTGCATACAATAAGTCACCAGGGACTAAAGCCAAGCACTCATTCAAGGTGCAAAGTGAAATACTCATGCAATGTATATCTAAATTTAAATTAATTTGATAAACAGAAGAAATTGTTTTAATTTATGTATATAGTTTGAGGCTTTAAAAATTAAAAATCAAATCTAGTGTCTATGTTATCACACACATGTACTTGTGTTACACAGTGAATATATTGATCACAAAAACAAAAGTGCTATTATGTTACAGGTGTACACGTGAAAAAATGTCAATAATGCTCACAGATGTCCCACAATGGGAATCATCTGAGATAGGTCAAAGTCTGATTCAAATTATGATTCAGCTTAAAATAAGTGCAATTTTGCAAGATTTGGAGAGGAGTGGGATCAGAAATAATTGTAGAATACTGAAAAAGGTGTAGCATCAAATAAAAGATGACAGAATTAATCGATGGATTTATTACATAATATTAATTTTCTCGTTGTTTTCTCTTAAGTTCCATAGAATTACAGTGTTTTCTATATTTTGCATGTTTCTTTTGTATTGCTTTCAAATGTGAAATTCTATCTGCAAACTGTTTCACCATTACTGGTAATTAATATGAAGTTAACAATATCTCCAGTGGATTCTTGCCCACTTTCTTGTTTAAAATTATACCACGCAATGGCAACATCCATATTTAAGGCTGGTATGATTGCCATTATACCTTTCTCTTTTCAAAGCATTTCATAACAATGTCTTTTTTTAAATAAATTCATTTAATCAATAGTTTTATTTTATTTTCACCAAAGATATGGCTGATATGTGACATGGAGAATGATAGCTACCATAAATATATCCAAGATATTTTAAATAGGACATAGGAGATAGCTAGCCCCATAAATTTAATGCTAGAGTCCAACAGATTAGGCTGACCACTAACACAACACATGTACAATACCTTGTAAAATAATGGTAAAAATACCAATGTTAAGTCTACTGTTTTCAGATCTGTAAAGCAGTTCTAGCCCATTCTGACAGACCATATCACATAATCGGGCATGTTGGGTTAGTTTGAGACTTAATTTTCAAATATTATATATGGTATATGTAGGTGGTTAGGAGGAGGACAACAGTTCAATGCCAACATTTAACTGGTAATAGAAACGCTAAGGTTAAAAAATAAATAGATAAAATAACAGCAATGAGCAAAAGGCGGGACGTTAACAAAATTTCCTTGCTAAATAGCACTGTGTGTGAAAGTGCATTGGGCGTGGAGGGGGGGGGGTGAGATGCAGGGCTTTCAGACGTCATTCTTTGCAGGGCATTAATTCAATCAAAATAAAGGGTCACAATAAGTCCAAGTTGAATTAAATTTCCTGGGTTCTCAAACAATTTCAACTGATGCTTTTTAAATTTATACAAACATGTAAGGGAACTTAAACCGTTGTCAACACAGACACTAGGGGACAGATGTTTCAAGCCAAGAAAAAGACTTAATTAACTGACATGTAATAGTAATTTCTCTTACCTGGGTGCAGCAACAGGCTGCACACTGGCACATGTTGTTAGAGGGATAAAATTTAACCCCAAGAACGTCAGTAAATAGCCATTTCTGCTAACAACTACTGCTCCACATGTACAACCGTCCACCACCCGTAAACACTAACAATACCCTCGTCACCACCTGCACCGGAAGTGAGCTTGTTTTGGGTGTTCCGTCTTCCCCCCTCCGGAGTGAATCAATGTCAAAATGAAGATTGGGATTCCGTAAAAAAAAAGATAGAAAATAGAAAAATAACACACGAAGTATCTACTATTTAAGTTTTAAGCCCACTTTAAGGCAACGGTAGTATATTATTTCCATGCGGATGCATTCAAAATAGGATTTGGATAGTTGAGCTACACGTCCAGGAACACATGCACCTGACACATCCAATTTCCTTAATTCCAGGATTTTTTTCAGTTTGTGAAACTTTACCTCGAATAGGTCTGTCTTGATTATTTCTAAGATGACGATTTAAACCATATAACACAGATGACAGTTCTAGACACCTTAAATCTGGTGTTATCGGCCCTCATAGTTAAAGGGATAACAAATGTTCATTTTGGCCAAAAAAATGAATTTTCCCATACTTACTAATGGTTAATGAATCCATTTCTACATTCAAAGTTAGTCCCTGTTTTTTTTTTTTTTTTTCTTTTTTTGTAATAATTTCTTAAGAGATTTTTAGAGCATAGCCATCTATGGAAGTCACGTGGTTGGATGGCAAGCACAGATTTCAGATTTATTGCTACAACTGCTGTTTTTGTGGTAAAAAAAAGAATATCTACGAGTTGTTTCCAACCTATTTATTGTAAAATATAGATTTCATACAAAGAGTTGTTATCCCTTTAATTTTTCAAGGTTCTTTACCTTCCTTCCTTTTATCAAATAATCATTAAACAGATTAACTTATCAGTTGTATTTCCTAAAATGCATAGAAAAAAAATGAGGAACATTGATTAATAATCTCCAATAGTACATTCACTGC